TTAGGGGGTCAAAAGGGGGACAATTCGAGTATTTAACGGGTACTCGTTCGAATATCAAACTATGTATTCAGACAATGTTGATTAACATGCTACGAATGATGTTGAGTCACGTTCAATCAGCGGGCGTTGTTGTAGTGCTGTTTTTATTTATTTTTTACTCTAGCAAAGGGTATTAGTATTTTTGGGCATAAGATATGTACATGTATCTAAGATCAGTATCACTAAGCAGTACAGTAATTAAAAGGTGATTCCTCTTGTTGTCAGCTTAAAATATAAAATATAAACCATATACTATCTTGAAACCTAATCTAATCTGTTTTTAGAGATAATACCATATAAATCGAAAGATTATTGCTTTTTACTTGGAAATCGATCAAAGAAATCCTTGTAGTTCAGAGTTATATAGCTGTCGTTTGACAATCTGGCCTAATAAATTAAACTATTACAGTTAACTGATAACTGTTTGTTAATGTATAAAAATGTTCGGCTTAGCTTTACTTTTGTTGTTATGTTTCATGTTGATGTAAGACTATCTTTGTTGGCAGAGTCGGGCCATAAAAAGTGGGTGGAATGAGGTAATGGTTGGTGTTTCGGAAGGGTAAAAAGTAGTTGCATTATCGGATGGCAATACTTGATATGCTTAAAAATGCTGGCGACCTGGAAACCGGTTTAACGAAAGCGAAACAAAGTGACGCAAAATTGTTTTCTTGGCCAGATAATATTTGCAATTACGTCACTCAAACATTTACCCTCCCCAAAAGCTCTGCAAACAAAACAATAAACGCGACTTGTCTTCGTTTTTTTTTTTTTCGAGGCCGCTAATTAACATCTATTTGTGTTAAATTGTGCCTAAATTGCCCTGCAGAAGTTAGACCACACGGCGGGCGTTAAGTATCTTTATCTACCCGCATTATCTTAAAGGTTCAAAGGCTATAAATACAATGTTAGTTGTAATTATTTTTCGATAGGGATTTCCTTACAATCATTTTGGATTTTCATTTTGAAAAAAAATACCATTTATAGATGCTATTATCTTAGTCTTAGGTTCCCGTTCACATCAAAAAAACAACATTTACTTTAGCTTCAGCATTTTCGAATATATATTTCATCGAGATGTGCCTGCAGCTTGGCTTTTGTCAATATTGTATGGTTGCATTCAAGTTAATTTTAAATGCAAAAGGGGCCACAGCTCAAGCACTTCCAGCATTTCGATATAAAAACGATTTCCACTCTCCGTCTTTATTTACTTAACAATTTTCTGTGTCATTTCTTTTTTGTAATTTTAATGCAAATGCCAACGATTGTTTAATGGAAACCAACACACACACGACAGACAGAATCCATCAAAAGGGACTGGCACAGTGGCACAGTGGCTCACAGTTCATTGATTGTATACTCAGGGGATTATATTATATATATATTGTTATTTTTTATTATAAATAAAATTATTTATAATACAAAAAATAAGGTTTTTAATAGTGGTATATCTTTTATATAAATTTTAAAATAATTTCATGAAATTATATTGTGACCGGAATAGTTTATCAAGTATGCAGCCCCGATTACCCATAAAAACACATTCATATCTCCTTCACATCGGGCACTCAAAATGCGCAGCTTAGCGGCAATTAACACTGACACTCCCACGCAGCAGAGAAACAGCAACAGCAACAGCAACAGAAACAGAAACAACAAGACGAAGAAACAAAACAAGGAGAAAGAGGAAAAGAAACCAGAGACGAAAGACAAACAAAGGCAGTGCTTTGTGCGTGGGTGTGGCAACTCAGCCTCAGTTCTTGAATTAGCAGAGGCCACAATGTGTTACTCATATGCTATTAGCCATGATCAGCGGTTATAATGTATTACTTTGTCTAACAAAATAGAGAGAATATAGTTTATAATTGACCAATAACTATATCTATTTCATATATCTTTAGTTTTTGAAATATTTTAATTGATTATTCATGTCCATGTTTATATTTATCTAACAGATAAACTGCCGGTTAGCATAAATCAGGTTTTGATTGAAATCAATCATATAAGAAACTTATCTGAAAGAAAATACATCTAATAAGGACATTTTCTTTATGACTTCCTTGACAATGTCATAATAGAATTCACAAGCTAACAAACCAAATAACATTTAATAGAATTCCAGACTTAATAGGTTTACATTTAATCTAGTGTTATTTAAGAGCCTGTAACGGAAACTGAAAGACATACATATAAACACAGCAAAACACCAGCTTGGACATTCGATAACGCTGGGAACTAAAAGGGCTGAAAGCTTTATGAGCTATTACATATAGTAGCTCTAGTATATTTATATTTTCTTCCCAATTGTTCAGGCAAGTTAGTTTGTTTTTCTGCGTGTATCCTTTGCGAACTTGTTTTTATGTCTTCAAACATACTCAATATTTTTTATGACCGGCTTGGCTCCACTCTGCACTTCCAGGCGTGGGTGTTTTTGTTATTCCTCTATTTTTGGTCTTGGAATTGAGGAGAATTACGAGCTCAGCGAAATGCAAATTGCAAAAGAGTGCAGGCAGGAGGAGGGGACACCCGGGGTAAAGAATATGACGGTGGAAAAATAGCAAGAAACAATTGAAAACTATTAAATGTGTGCATAAAATTAAGCTAAAATTGCTTGACTCTCAGTGCCCCTTAAACCAAGGTGACGAGTGGCACGGCGCACATTGGGCCAAAGAAAGAGTTACGTGGGGAAATTCTTGGTACTTGGTTCTTGGCTTATACTATACTTATACTAAACCTATATTAAACCGAAGATTTTCAGGTGACACTGACTCGACGGGTTAGTGATTTTCTACAAAACTCTTCTAGCTTTCGTATTTATGGATGATCCTGTAAATTTCTGCATTCCTGTATTCCTGCATTCCTATTCACCGATTGTGGTCCCACTGTATGGCTGCTGCTGCTTTCAGAGCAAAGCCAAGATATAAACTGATGCTGAGACGTTGTTTTTCACGCTCTCTAAGTGAGTTTGCTGGTATATTAATGTTTGTGCTTGTGTGCTTGCGATTTGTATTTTTATTTTAAGCAGAAACTGGTTTTCCGAGCTCTGGCCCCTTTGAGCTCGCCCCCTGTTAAGGGTGACGAGGGGAGATACTTTTATGTGGTGTCATAGTATGGAAATAAATGCACGTTATACCGCTGCTGGCCTTGCTAAAATTTAAATAAAATCTTTTCAAAGTCGTACAAACATAAATATTTGACAAGTGAAATTTTTGTTTATTATTTATTGTTTTTTATATTATGTACGCGACTATGAGATACCCTGTAATAAACTGTAGAGTACTAGTTTTAGAAAAGACCTCCATTATAAGGTGTATAAATTCTTGATCTAGCTTTAAAATTTTTATCAATTCACTTTGCAGATTATTCATCTTGTAGATTTAAACAAGAAAAAGAAAGCTAAAGATAGGAAAAATCAAAGTAGAAGTATTTTGAATGCAATTACTATATAAGCCAAGTAAAAGTATTTGAAATACAATCAGATAACACTGTCGTACATGAAATACTAGTATTTTTGTAATAGTCCAACTCTATTTCTCCCGGAGAGCTAGAGCGGAGAAAAGATAAAGGAGATGTGGGAAACTTGTTTGCTCATCTGTCCCCCCCTCCACCCACTCACTCTCTCTCTCTTAAACACACACAGACACACACCCTCTTTACCACACACACACACACAGTGGAGCCCATGAAGCAGCCACATTAACCGTTAGCTGGCAATGCGTTGTCTCTTCTTCAACGTTGTCGCTTTTTCTTGCTCTTTTCCTCTCTCTCTCTCTTCCCCTCCCCCACCAAGGCATCATCCTTCTCCTCGTCGTAACATCATGGGGGGTTGATTCGCACTGTTGAAGGCCAGCGTCGCAGCCGCAGTCGGCGTCGTTGCTCCCCATTATCAACGACGACGCCCACATGCACCGCTTAACGGTTTCTTCCTTCTCCACCTCCTCTTCCTTTCAGAGCCACGCTTGTGGCGTGTCTGGGTGTTTGTGTGGGTGCATGCGAGTGAGTCATGCAATTGACAATTAATTTTAATAATTTGCCGCCTCTATTATTGTTATTGATTGATTTTCTACATTTATCTCGGTTTCTTATTATTCATGATTTTATTAGTTGTTCGTTACTCGCTTCTTGTCGCTTCCACCAACTTACCTCGGTGAATTTTTCCTTGATCTCCGCCTTTTCATCAATGGACAGTGTTTTTGTGAATTTGTTTAGTGCTGCCATCTTTGTTGTTGTTGTGGTTTTGTTTGTCGCTTCTCTCAACTCTCTCGAATTTGTATAACTGGCGTTTGATTGGTTGAATATTTTCAATAAATTATGCCTTTATTATTAGTTTCACTGTTATTCCGCTTTTCGCTTGGCGGTATTTGCGAACACACTTTCCTCGGTGACTTTTATTTGTTTACTATTTTTTGTTTAAATCTCTTGCGAACTCCAATTGAATATTTTTGGCTTGTTTCCTTTGCACAATCACCTCTCGTTGTTTGTATTTTGTTTTCTTTCCAAAAAAAAAATTGGTAAACCACGCGTTGTTTTAGATAAAATATTAAATGTTTTGAATGTTCCCCCAATTCGGCGGCTCAACGCGAAATTTGCAATCAACCGGCTACTGTACGGTTTTGTTAACAATACTTAACAAATTGTTAATGCGGCGGAGCAGCGAGAAAATCTCGCGAGAGTCGGAGAGATTGGTCTGGCTGACCAGACTTTTCGATAAAATTCGTCACGGCGTCACGGAGGGGGAGGATTTTGCCTGCCGCGGCCGCTGGTCACACTGGATCTGCATCACAACAAAATGGGATTTCGCCCAAAACGAAAACGAAAAAATTTTACGATTACCGGAGCAGGCCTAAATAATAATTTATTTTGTTGATTCAGTAATCTTAAACTTCCAAGCTGATATTCACTGGTAATAGGAAAACACGAGATATCGATATATCTATTCTTCTAAAATTTATCGAATGTCGCGCCGCGGTCACACTCTGCTCCGCTCTACATCGCCTGGTCACACTGTCCAGCATTGTTGCCTTTTTTATTCTATTCCCGGACATTTTCGCTGTTTTAGCGATCGCCGCCGATTTGTTTGGTTGATTGAGGTCACAGGTCACAGGCTACGCCAACCGACACGGGCTCCAGCCATTCGACAGCCGCGCTGCAGCAGAGGTCAACCTCTGTTGTTGTTGTTGTTGTTTTCGCCAGCTGCTACATCCCCTGCGTGTGTGTGCGTGTGTAAGTATTTCGGAATGCGCGTGTGTGCGTGTGTACAAGTTCACGAAATAACAACAAAGCTTAAAACGCATTTACGTTTTGAAAGCGATTTATTTACTCATTTCTTTATCGTAGAAAGCACAAAGAACGGGCTAATCCAGCGAAGGAGCAAGAGCAAGCGCCGCCAGCAGCAACATGGATGTGGAGGAGAACTACGAGAGCTCAACAGAAGTGCAGAATCAAAACCTAAACCTGAACCTAAATCAAAATCAGAATGCAAATGCGCATACGAATGCCAATGCCGATCCGCAGCAGCAACAACAAATGCAATGCGAGCCCCTGTTCGGACTAACAACCAACACAACAACAACCACGAACCCCATGATGGCCATCCCGCTGCCAGCGCCGCCCGGCATGCTGCCCCATCCGCAGCCGAATCCGAATCCAAATTCCCATCAGAATCCCACAGCCACAACAGCCGCATCGGCGCCCGCAGCACCAATCAAAGCATTACCGACAAACGACTTTGATATCGACTCCATATTGCTGCAACAGTTCAGCTGCATGGGCACCACGGATCACGAGGATCTGATCAGCCAGTTCCAGAGTCTGATGAACAATCAGATGAACCGTGAATCGGCCAGATTCTACCTGGAGATGAGCAACTGGTGAGGCCTCCCAAAACTGACCACAACGATATTCATTTTTATTTTTCGCTTTTCCAGGAGCCTACAGATGGCCGTGGGCTGTTATCTGGACTTCTGCAGCCTGCAGTCGCTGCCCTCGATGAAGATCGTGCAGGGCAAACATTTGAATGCCCAGCAGCAGGCCTTCCAACTGCAGAATGACGGCACCGAGCGTTGGCCAAACAACTGCTATCTCACCTCACCCATCCAGACGCAGCGCATCAATGTGCCCGCCCTACGTCCGGGCGAAACTTGTGATATCCTGGCCGATCTGATGCCGACGCAGCCTCCAATAATGTGGCGATTGTGCACACCAAATGGCTGGTACTTTGGCGGTGAGCAAAGATAAAAAGAGACTTTAAATTTAAGAAGGAGTCAATCGGTTAAGTTGTTTGCCTTTTCCTAAAAGGCATTAAGTGGAGAATTTCATAAGATTTTGAGATAGGTTTTCTAAATAATTAGCAACAAAATTTACACTACATTCCTGCAGTTTATCCTAAGGCAATTAGAGAGAAAGAGTTTTCGCGTAGTTTCATTCTCGCCTCATTGAAGAACATCACTTCTAATGCTAGAATCTCTTTTGTAGATGCCATTTGGATGATTCCGCCGGGAACGCAAGCTAGCCAGGACGAACTACAGCAGCGGATGGTTCAGCTAATTACATCGGAGGCCAAGCCAGATGTCTATCCGCAGATCAACATCGTGATATCGGCCCACACACAATAATTACTGCGAGCAGCACAGCCAGCGTCCAGAATCCGGGATTCGGAGTCTGAAACCATTATTATTCTCCCTCCACAGATCTGGCAAAATTATTCCGTTTTCCACAGAAACCTTATAATGCGGGGTGTGTGTTCAGTTCCCAAAAACTCATCGATAGCATTTTTCATGCCCTGCGAATTCTAACATTTACGATTAGACTTTATAGCCCCACGTTTCCCCTCTTTTATTTCCAAACTCTGGACATATAGTATCAACACTTTTTTTACACACACTTGACGCCATACACAGCAATTGGAGTTTGTATGTATGTATGTAGCCCCGTCCGGGAAAACTGCCCATAAATCCTTATATATGTATGTTTAAAGCTAAGTTCAGAAACACACTTAATTTTGCACTGGTTTTCAGAGCTTAAAGGTCCAAAAGTATGCTACAAATGGTATAACAGTTTAAGGAAGATCATTTAAGTCGAAATTCTATTGATTTCTGATCTATATAGATGTGCAACAATTTTAAATCCCACATTGTTTTTTTGTTTTTTTTATATATACATATATACTATACAATTTTATTATGAAAAACAATAGGAAACTTGATTTGTGCAAAATTTACACTGTGTGTTTTGAACTTGGCTAACATCTAAATTTTGAGTTTAAAAGTGAAATCTTTTAATTTCCCTTCTAGCTGTACTTGGTGTCAGAATGATCAACTTTAAATATAACAATTGAGAAGTAAAGCATAAGTGAAAAAGTGAGCGTGAAATGCGAGAATCGTGTGGCATCCTTAAGTTCTTTGTTTTTTTTTTACTAGGCAGTATAGTTGCGTGTGTGCGATTGTTTTATGCATAATTAATTAATTTTTTCTATAATTTAAACTCCTATATATTTTGAGTAAAACCGAGAAAATGAATAAGCGGAAGGACTTTGTAACAAAATTAGACTTAAGTGTTTTATTGAGCTGAACAAGACAGATGAAGAACGAATGATGTGTTGCGTTTTATTTGGGAGTGGTGACAAATATTTTAACTAATATTTGAATAATTTCTTGGAGATCGGGAAACTATAAGCATAGTTTGAAATTCAAATAAAGTCATTTGGTAATGTATCAGGGAATATAATGAAAATTATCAATGATTTGGGAAGAGCATTCAATTGCCAGCTCCTAACTGGTCAAGAAGTAGCTTCTTGGGATCTCTGGTCATCTATCTGCTATCTTTGCTGAGTATCCAAGTCTACGGTATTCTATGAGATACAATAACTTCTATTGTTCAAATAAGAACGATATTGAACTAACTTTGATAAATGGTAGAGTAAATTATATATCCACAGAGTTATAATTGGCTTCTTCCAGTTTTCTAAACCAGTTTTATTATCTAAACATCCCAAAAGTTCATGAACTAATTAAAGGTTGAATTTTAAAATAATTTAAAAATTGTAGAGCAAGAATAGACCACGTATTTGTATAAATTTACCTTACAATTTTACAATTATTTCAAAATTAAACATCTATTTTGTTCATGAATTTCCTGGAATCACTGGTTTAGTGATTAACATCCCAGTGATTAACTTATACAATCCAATTTAAAAATTTTATTAACTTTATTTAGTATAATTCTACACTTTCTATTTAAAAAGTTTCCATATACTTTCTTAAATAAAGTAAAAAAAGAGTAAGATAAAAACAAATCAAAACTCATAAAACAAAAAAATAAAATAAAAAACCTGCTCATACTTTTCCCTGACTTTGATTTAATATTTTGATCACACGATGTAATCCGATTGGTAGCAATATTACTTATGCGTCCCCCTGTTGTCCTTACCTTTTTTTTTTTTTTTTTTTTTGCAGCAACTGGCTTTGCATGAATATTGTAATTGAGTCAAATATGCAAAAATAAAAACACCGACGACACACACACATATGAATAAATACAAACGTTCGCTCCTGTGAAGGCTCGGAAAATGAATGCAGTGAAACGTAAAAGAAAATTATAAGTCCACAGTAGCGACAACAAGGATATGAAAATCTTGGAAAATAAATCATCGAATTTAAATATACCCTTAAAATTTAAAAGATAGAAGTTAGTTGGTGTTTCAAGTTCTTGCAAGGATTACTGATCACAGGTAAATTATTACTATTTATTAACAGTTTCAAATAAAATTTGTATATTATAGTATATAATAATTTATAATAGATATATTAAATCTTGCAAAAGGACGTTTTCCAAATCAAAAACTTTCTAGATCCTTTTACATATCTTAGTATATCCAGAGTATATAAAGACAGCAACAATGGCGCCAACTAACTACGCTTTGACTTGAATTACAAATTATAAACCGGCTGCGAGGGTTAAGGGTAATGGAAATACTGGATAATATATATACATATGTATATAGAGGAAGGTCTGGTTCGGTTGAGCGGATTGGGATTGGGATTGGGATCCTCCCTCCACTGGGGGCCACTGGCATGTCATGGACAATCAAATCAAAAAGGCGTCAAAGCACAAGTCCTCTTCCACAGTTTTCCCTCTCTCTCTTACAGGGAGTCCCCTCCTGTGCTTTCCTGCTATTTCGTACCCCCCCCCCATTCTCTGTCCTAGTCACTCTCCGATTTTCTATCCCACTCGCACTCGGTGGAGCACAAATTGCGCGTTTTCTCGTTTCATGTAACATTGTAAAATTGCATTTGCGCCTTCCTACTGTCCATATCTGCTCGTTTCATCCTCCTAGTGTCCCCATCTACTGTGTGTCTCATCTCACCATCAGCCATATTCCATCTACACTGAACAAAAATGAGGTCCTACAAGTACAGAAAGTATGTTTTTATTATATAATTTTGCTCTTATCTGAATTTTTAAAAGATTTATAAAAAAATGAAGGGAAATTACCATAAATGAACAAATGGTATTCATTTTTTGCTCTTGTAGGTACAGTCACTACAAAAATACTACAACTCTACTACCAGGACGTGCCAAGTATAGTTCCTTATTACTAGATAGATTTTTCCGAGTGTATTCTACTGCCTCATCCGCTCTGCCCTACCTCATTGTTGTTGTTCGAAAATTCAGATTATGATTTGATTGACAAACAGCCCAACTCCCGTTTTTCGTGCAGAGAGCTGGGGACTTTGGGCTCCCTGGATGGGCATGGGCACACACCCAGGCCTATTTGATATTCATAGATTGGGAATTACAAGGCAGCCATTGGCAATTGTCAACAAGCCCTTACCCACAGGCACATACAGACACTCTCAAATCAACACTCACATAAGGACACGTGCTGATGTTACAGCGAGATGTCAATTTGTTTGTTCATTTGGTTTCATTTCATTTTGTTTTTTTTTTTCACATCGCCTGATGGCGAGGGAAAAGCAACTGGGAGATGGGAACAGCCTAACAGGATTCCCCTACCATACTGTGAACTTGTGGCAAAGAAGGTCTCTTGTTACCTATTTTGCACATGCGAAAGTTTCCCAAGAATAAGCCTAGCTTGCAAATACAAATCTACAAGTTTATGGTTTTTAAATTTTAAATTTATTTCTATTTAAATTATTTATAATTTATTGTTCAATGAATTCGATATAAAAAAGGGTCTCTTTCCTTTTCACCACAGATTTGTAATTGAATTCCAAAAAGACATGGCTAAATTGACTCGCCTGGCGATGCTGATCAAGCTTATACACATGTCTAAAGGGCTTTAGGGCACAGATGACACTTAAAATAATAATCATAAGGCCTTTATTTTCTTTGGCTATCAGAAAAGTGCTTTTTACCAATGATGACAGTAAGTAACCTTGCTTTTATAGTTAATATAACCGCTACTATTTAAATACGGTTTCTATGCGAGATTTAATCGAACTGATATCATATTTTACAATGCAATATATGATCTGCCTAATTTTTTTTTTGATAACTGATTATTTTTGAAATCTTGTTTTAACTATTTTTCGCATTCTTCACTCACTTAAGTCGCATTCCAATCAAGTTAAGCTTCACCCACTTCCTCGCAGCACATTAAATGTATAAAACAATTGCCAGACAGTTTGACGCTGTTGGGAAACCTCGAAATGCAATTCTATATCCAGCTCAAAGCTTCCAAGGTGCACTGAGAAAAACATATATATTTTTTAGGAATTTAAAATAAAGTAAAGGTGGAGTTTTCGGACCTCTAGATCTAGACCTGTAGTGTCTGTAAGCTTTCTTCCTATTTTTTTTGTAATTAAATGAGTACAAGTTTTTCAAAGGCCATATTTGTTATATATTTTTTGCCGTGTGGTAGTCCGAACCGATTCAATTTGGGACACGTTTTTTCGATTCCCGTCGATTCCGTCCCGTCCACTCTGCTCAAGCTGGTGGTCGATTTTTATGAGCGGCGCGCGTTGACAGCTTAAAAGTCTCTTAGCATGAAAAATATTGTCAACGCCGAATGCGCCGATTCCCGACTGTTCGACGGTTCGTTGTTGTGGGTTGGAAAAACCTTCTCTGACTCTGGCTCTGACTGTTGCTCTTGATGTGTTGCAGCGATAAGATTTTGATAGGGGCCCCGGACTTATAAGTATTTATGCGAGGCACCCTCCGCCATTTGGCCCGTTCAGGACCAGAAACTTATCTCCGGCAACTGACAATCAAAGGTATCAACTGCCATGATGGCATTAGGGGCACTCATAATTACCGCTCTACCGCTAAATGCACTAAAATCGTAGAGTGATTAACTCGAAATCGCAGGAGAGAGATTAATTCACAAATTGATTGCCTTAGATTAAGGGGTAATTGAATGTTAAAATACAATTTGTTTCTAAATTTAAGAGCAATTCTTCTTGATTTAATAAAAAAAATAAATTACTTTCAGGGTAAGTAACTTTGTAATAGCACACATACACACATAATAGCACATATTTATTGGGACCAGCTTATATACATATACACAAATACATGTGCTCGGTACTGATCCTTCACTTCATTCCAGGAAAGCTAGAACCAGTTGGGAATTATATGTGCACACGTGTGGAATTCTTTGCACTACAAATTTTAGGGCGAATTTGTTATCGCTTTTATAGAACATTTACCAGTTTTACGATTGCTACAATGACAGTTATAAACAGATTTTTAAAATTAAAATGTTAATTCCCAAAAAATTACAATATTTTAAGGAAACTACAAATATACAAAAGCTTTATGTATAACAAAACTATAATTTGTATTTGATTTAAATTGTTCCCTAAATAAGTTCCTATTTGGAGCCCATTTGTTATATTTCCTGTATATAAACCCTGATAGCCCTGGTAAATGATCTCTCTCTCTGGAGAAGACCCCACTCCATATGGCTTCTTGTCTGTTTCTCTGGCCGGATTTCCCGCTTCTTGCCCGCCCTGTTCCCTCGTTAAGTGCTTTTTAATTTGTTTGCATTCGAAATCCGAATTCCCTGTGTTCCGCTTTTATCGGGAATCAAGTGAGCTGAGTGCAATTACGACACCTTCAAAAAGCCAAATAGGACACAGCGGGAGCAGGGGAGAACGAGACACTCATCCTCAAGGCACTTAAGCGCATCCCCAGAGGGTTGTTACCCGCTATCCACCCACTTTTCAGCGACGACTTCGGGGGTGGTGCTGGTGGTGGTGGTGGTGGGGTAGTGGCTGGGCACCACTGGCTAATTAAAATTACTTTCCAGGGCGACACTCGGAAATTTACAGGGCGGTGGGTGGTTCATGGTGGGTGGAGAGGAGCTGGAAAAGCAGGTTAAAACAGAAGGCGGAGTTAGTGGATGGGCATTTCAGGTTAATGGTCAGCCGGTCGGTCAGCTTGCAGCCACTTTTAATGAGCGTCGTCGTGGTCCCCAGTCATTTGTTTTGGGAACGGAGACCTTCTCGCTCCGCCAACTGCGTATTTGTCATTTTTAATGTCTTTTTAAACCACGTGAAAGGTGAACCGTACTCGCACCGAGCTTAATGGCCATCTTCTGGCCCTCTGACGGGTCTATAGAAAACTGGGCTCTTATTGGTAACATTATTTTGAAAGTTAGTACACGGGGTTAAGTTTTGGAATTAAAAACGAAAATGGTATACACTTTTAGATACAAAATTAAAATGGTTCAATACTTATAATTTTAAAAAAGACTATATACTATACTAAGTAACTTATCATTCCATTAATATCTAGCTCAAGTTATTTACAATTGCTTCTCGAAAATATCCCTAAAATGCTTTATTATTAATGATACAAATAAATATATTATAGAAAAGAGCATTCAATTTTCGTTGTCTTCAAAATTTCTCGCCTAGCTCATCTTTAATTAACTTATTTTGCTTTTCGTGAGCCATATTTTCGCCTTGCACCGTTAGTTAGTCGCCGACAAAATGGCGGCGGACCAGCTGGAAAATTAATACACTTGGCGTGTCCGTGGGAGAGAGTGGCGAAAGTCAAGTTGCCTCATTAGCAGGCAAAGGGAATGTCGAGAGACAAATTATTGTCACAGTATTTGTACGGGAATCCTATTAATGGGGTGGGGGTGGTATAAATGAAGGGGGAGGGATCTGTGTCAAATTGGGAAATTACTGAAAGACGATGATAGATAGGCTCAGGGGAATTTCCATCGAAGGCTGATTGTAAGGATTTGAGCTTTAAATATGCTCGATTTACAAGAACTAAGGAGATTCTATTCAATAATAATATATTATTTAAGAATAAGGTCATTTTTTCATTTAAAAACCTTTAATTTTTAGGTCAACTTTACTAGTTCATTCCATTTCATTTATTTTGTTTTTATCCTAGTGCGACAAGTGATTAATGAAATATTTTTGTTTTAGTTACTAACAAAAACACTTCAAAAAATGTTTAAGTTTATTAAGTGTTCTATAATTATGCAATATAAATATACAACAATACATTTTACAAATTTACTGATCTACTTATTATTACCTCAGACAAATCTGTAGCTTTTGAGTTCTGTAAACGAAATTTCAAATAACACCAATAAGTGCGGAAAATTTTTGTTTATTAATTTATTTAATTTTGAAGAAGGGGGTATAATAGGTTAGGCTTAGAATTATTTTAAATTTTAGTCAGAAGTTTACAAAGCTATTTCTTTTCCAACATTTCTGACCCTATAAATTATATATATTAATAATCAGCATTACAAGTCGAATTAATCTGGTGAAAATAAATTGTTAACTAAGTTTTTCAAATTTTTCAAAAATTATAAATATATTAACATTTTAAAAATATCCTAATTGTTAATTTAACTAAAAACTAACACAGAAAAGCATTCAGAATTAATATTAATGGATAAATTATAAGAGTTTTAAAAATTGATTTGTTCAAAAAATAAAATATTGATATATATTTAATGCATTTTTTTTTTATTAAGTATTAATTCTTGCTAAAATGTTGTGTCTTAAATGGAAACTAGGAGAGTCTAATTGCAGTGCAAACATATTTTCAGCCCAGTCACGTCTTTACTTTCCTGCGTAAACCTGATTATATACATATCCACGATCAAATCGAAATATTCCTGGAAGCATCGGGGCCGCCACAGGAAGCTGGACAAATTCCAAAGTCAGCAGAGACAGTTTAAATGTAGCTAAAATAAAATAAAACTAATATAAATATGCGCATAGATTGTAAATATTTTGCATAAAGAATAAAAAAATAAAAAATATTATGAAAATCAATTAGTTGGTGGACTAGATTATTAAATTTACGACTAAATGAACTTATTTCATACAGTAAAACATCGTAAAGTAATGCTTTTTGCACTATTTAACCTGCCATTCACTAACACATTAGGCAGCAAATCGACATCGATACTAAAATCGCTGAAAGTAAAAAATAAAAAAACAAGAAACAAAAAACAAAACACACAAAAAAAAAAGGGTAAAAGAAGTGTAGAGAGAGGCACTCGACTGTGCGACAGAGAGCGAGTGTGCGGCATTTAACTGCTGCCAATTTACTGTTTAAATGGCAAACAAAAAGTGTTAACAAGCGCAAAAATACAAAGAACAACAAAGTCTGGCGAGCGAGAGGGCCTGATGGGTATGTGTGTGTGCCGGCCATTGCCGGTGTCAGAGCGAGGCAGATGTAGCCACGCGCAAGCGTGTGTGTGTGTGTGTGTGTGTGTGTGTGTGTGTGTGTGTGTGTGTGTGAACCAGTTTAAGGGGGCGTGGCCTAGTGAAAACAGGGATGACAGCATCCCAATCATCCATCCATCTTGGCCATCTGTGGCAATCCATCAGATACACCAGAAGCTGCAACAGTGCCATAATCGTGTTGAGTGTGCCTGCGGCGGTGCTATAAAAAGTTTATAGCAAGTCTTTTTTACAAGGCTTACATTATTTTTGAAATTTTATTTTTTCGATCTTAAGGGATAGGGAGTTAATATTTATTATTTTTATAATATTTATATTCTATGTTGTAAACAAAAATAAATAAATAGAAGCAAATAGATACTTATATCATCTTCTTTATTGTGATATTTACAACAAACAGAAGTTTTATACTTTTTACTTAACCTTCAAAAATGTAGTTAAGATTTAAATATATATATATTTTTATTTTTTACTTTTAATTTAGCATATAAAATCGAATTAATTTATGCGATCAATCTTATCTTATTTCAGTATTTTGTTAATTTTGGTAGTACGATCAAAGCAAAGCCCAAAATTGTCTCGTGCCATAAAAAATTACCGTTAGCGGCCATTGCGAGTGTAAAACTCACCACACCGCAGACAGGCGGGAGAGTGGGCTGAGCGACAGACACTGAGAGAGAGAGGGAGAGCGGGCACCATACGCACACTTACACTTACACTGGAGTTGCTGCTCGCCGCTGCTGCTGCTGATTGAAGCCTAATAAATGTCAATTGCTGCCAATTACGACCAATAAATGCGGGCAATAGACACGCCAGTAAGTGCCCAAGTGCGATAGAGGGAGACAGAGCTCAGGAGAGAGCGCTGGAGAGAGGGAGCAATTCGTGTGTTGGACGGCGAGAGGAACTCACCACGCCCCCAGGCGGCGAGAAAGAGACAACGAGACAGGTGGCAGCTGGCAGGCACCTCTCAGAGGCTCAACTGGTTTTTTCCTTGGCTGTTGCGCCGCTAAGCTGCTTTTTGCTGGCCACCAGAGTCTCAGTTTCGGTGGAAAGCCAAAGGCGAGCGGTTGTTAGTCTGCAGCACGCTCCGCTTTGAGTCAAAACAAAAACAGTGCGCGAGATAACCAGAGCTTCAAGCGCACCTGAGTGTTTCTTTTTTTTTTTAGTCGAAAAGTCCGTTAAGTGAGAGCCGGCCCAAAAACAACAACAACAACAGACCCTCCGAAATCAAGTTAAAAAAAAAAACTATTAAAAACAAACAACAAACCTTTAAGACAAGCTAAACATAGTCAGTGGAACAATTAAAAGTGATTTTAGTTATATAAATTGATTTTAAAACAGCCACAAAACTGACCAAGAAATAACAAGTTTTAGGGGCAACAACTTTCACTTAATTAAAAACTCGACAAACTCTTGTCCTTTTTAAAACCAAAAAACAAGACGCACATAAACCGTGAGAGCAACTCGTGGTGTGCCATTTTCGCGCGTGAAGTAGAATTTTTTTCGAGTGTCGAAGTGCCGGAGTGGGGGAGTGGTAGCAGATCGGGGGATCACCGCCGGCCACACATGACCACAATGCCACCGGAAATGTCCACAGCAACGGCAACTCCCGTTGCCAGTGTGCCCAGCGGCACTGTCCACCCGCCGCGCGACTCACCGCCAGGTGGCGACACACCGGCCGTCGGCAATACCGTTAGCAACAATACATCCACAACGCCGACGACGACGGCCACGCGATCCCGCTTCATGATCACCGATATTCTGGCCGGAGCAGCGGCGGCAGCAGCAGCGCTGGCAGCCTCCTCCTCGGGGCGTGTCAGTCCGCAGGACTCGGTGGATCGAGAGCGGGACAGCGAGCGGGAGAGGGAGCGAGAACGGGAGCAGGCCCTGGCCGCCCACTATCACCAGCAACAGCAGCAGCAGCAACATCACCACCAGCAGCAGCAGGCACAGCATCACCAGCAGCAGCAGCAACATCATGCTGCGCTGCAGCAATACATAGTACAACAGCAGCAGCTGCTGCGCTTCGAGAGGGAAAGAGATCGGGAGCGGGAGAGGGAACGGGAGCGGGAGCACTTTCGGGAGCGTCACTCGCCACCAGCTCACTACCACCATCCCGCCATGCCGCCCCACCTGCTAGCACACTTTCCACCCGCCCACTATGTCGCCCTGCAGCAGCAACAGCAACAGCAACAGCAGCAGGCGCAGCAGCAACCCCATCCGCATCAACTGCAAATGGAGCGAGAGCGATTGGAGGCACTGCATCGACACGGCGGCGGTCATGGGTTAACGGTGGAGCATCGCCAGCAAACACATCAGGCAGCTCTCTTGCACGATGATCGATCGCGGTCGCCGCTCATGCTGCAGCAATTGGGCAACAACAACAACAATGGCAGCTCGAACAGCAGCAGCCACAACAATAACAATAACAGCATCAACATTAACACGGCAGCCAGCAACAACAACAATAACAATGGAAATGGCAACAGCCACATGTTGCTCGCGGGAGCAGGCAGCAGCATCAGCGGTGATCAAGCCAGTACCATCGATGACAGCGACAGCGACGATTGCGGTAAGTCCTTAAGCCTAAAGGAGTGGGATTCTCTACGAATTCTCAAGTGGTATAAATCAGAGTTGCCAGACTATTGTACAAAGGGTCGCAAACTTGAGGGTTTTGAAAAAAATAGTTGCTAAGATGGTTTTTGTGAGTGTTCAAGTGGGTAAACTCAAAATGATCAAACTGTTAATGAAACACAGATGAAGTATTCCTGAAATCTATATTAAAAAGTTGCCAGACCAAAGCAATGGGTTGCCAGAAAGTTAAGTAGAATGCATATCGGTTTATAAAGAACATAGGTTCAAGTCCTTATTCCAAGTCTTTGCATAATTTCAACTTTAGATAGCCAAATAAAATATTATAAAAAATAATAATAATTAAAAAAAAAAAAAACTAAGATATATAACATTTTGAAACCTAAAACAATTGTATATATTTGAAATACAGTTGAAATATAGTTCATATGTATGTATTTATAAAGATTAAAAGCGTTCGGGCTTATTTATTATGACCAAATTTTTTAAATAATATTAAAAAGAAGAAAAAACAACACTTTACACCTAAACTCATGCTCAATGTGATTATTTTCTTTATAATTAAGCTCTTTTAAATATTAAACCCAAGAAATAGTGAAATCCTTAATTTAGTAGCAAGAAAAAAATTATTTTATTTTATTTAAAACGAACCCATTTTTATGATATACCCATTCGTTGCAAGTTTAAATTAAGGAGCAACCGAATTTGGTGTAAATTTGTACGGTACTTATATTGATGATAAAACCTGAAGTGATTTCACACCACTTAAAAATATATCGGACCATATGGCTATCCATACATTGAGTGCTAAGCGTTGCTGCAGTTCTTGTTGCTGTTGCTGTTGTTGTTGTGGCTGTTAGCTAATAGATAACGGCCAAAAAACAGCCACAACAACCACCACCAGCACCACCATTAATTCAGAGGCACGAGAAGTGGGAAAAAGGTTGAGAAAACTAAAGGCGACGGTGGGGGGGATAGTCGAGGCACACAGGTGAGTCTGAGTCCAAGGCAGGTGTCTCGTCTCTCTCGCTGTGGCAGATTAGCTGTGAATTTATATATATATTTATGTACATATATGTAGCTTTCTGTCAACGGAGGAGTTTTAATATCGCATTCGAGAATACCCTTGACTGTGCCGCCCGTCCTTAGTGAATTTTTGTATATTTTTTTGCATGCAACAATTTAATTGATTTTGTTGCCAGTTTCGGTTTCAGTTTCAGTTTCAGTTTCAGTTTCAGTTGCTAATTTAGCCTGCTCTCCCCTATCCCCTCTCTGATTACCCGTTAAGTGCTTTTAAACGTTATGCTAATTATGACAAATTACTATTAAATAGCCGTAATCGTGCGCTTGCAATTGATTTAGTACCCTGTAATTTTTGAGAAAGAGAACACTTGAATGTATATATTTATTTCAAGATTTAATTTTTGATGAGGTTAGGGAAATATTATAACTCTAAATGTTATAGAGCTGACTAGTACCTTGACTTTGTTATAATATTTTGAGTGGCTTGGTCTCCATAAAGTCTTTAGTTATACTTTAATTGCTCGCTGGAAAATATCATTTAATGGCTTCACGAATTATTATCTGTTATTAGGTTTTCGATTTTGATTTTGATCAACTCAATTATTTTTCTCCAATTTCACAGATCATTTTCAAAAATGTATATTTTTATTGACTTGTGCCAAAATCAATTAAGCTTTTACCACCGGGCAGGCCAGGTGATTGGATCTAAGAAACTCATGACCCCCTTCTGTTTTGACGTCCCGCTGTCAATTTTTTCCAAACGAAATCGCTTTGATTTGAGACACAAGCCAAACGCACACACACACGAAAATAAATAAATAAAAAATTAAATTTTATCTGCTGGCAGCCCACACACAGAGTCCCCATTGACATTTAGGCTCTGTCCATGTATTTATTCCTCTTTCTGGAGGGCCCACGCCTAAAAGATACAGATGCTTTGGAGTCGCACAAAAACCACTACAAAGTATAATTTTATATGTTATTTCCTATTGAGAAATAGCTCACACTTGTAGGGATTTTTGTATATTTTTGTTGATTTTGTTAATTGCATAAAATTAATATATATAAAATAGTTGCTGAGGAGGCAAAAATCAACGCTCGCGTGTCACTTGAGAAGCGTGCGAGCGACAGTTGTTCTCCCCCTGCTCTCCTTCTGCCTTAACTTTATTTTGTGTTTTTATTTTTATCCTCATTCTCCTTGTCCTTTTTTTTTGTCATATTCTTCGGGGGTTACTTTTGTGGGGACTTAAAAAAAAAGATCGCATCGCTTTTGAAATGGACCCAAATGCTTATTTCCTGCCCATTGAACTGTGCACTGACAGAGGGGGGGTGCAAGGTGGGGCTCGAAAAATAATCAGGGATCAGGATCATTTCCATTGCCGCCTCAATGCCTCCCGCAAGTGCTACAAAAATTCAATAAAAAAAAGGCACAAAAATTTTAATATTGAAATTGATATTTTGGGGGAATCACCTTTCACAAACACGATTCAGGAATGCCAGACTTTTGCTTTGGCTTCCAAGTGAAATCTCATCGTTTTTAGACACATATTATTAAATAAATAAATATGTATTTTTAATATATTTATTAAAAATCATGGCTGATTCTATAAATATTTTCTTTGAATTTCTTTTTGTATTGAAAAAAAAAACTTTAAATTATATTTAAACTATGAAAATAATTCAGGTTAACATAATTTCATCAGGATTTATGCAAGTTCTTTTTTAAAACTCGGTTAGATTTTTTTTACATAAATATTAGCTTATTCCTCGTGAAGGAAATGTTTAATCGCAGACACAACAACAACAACAACCACAAAAAACAAAAGCCCATAAAAAATAGTAACTATAATAATTTCAAATTATAATGCAAGTAGCACGAAATCCGAACAACCGTTATGTAAGCACAACCACTCATAGCAGAAAGCACAAAGCACACAGCACAAGGCACATAGCACACGCTTCTCATGTTGCTGTTGCACTTGCCATACTTAGTTTCTGCAGTTTTTTTTTGCCAGTGCCTCCAAGAGTACACTAAATGCCAACATTATCAAAATGTTGATAAACGTTTAACAAACAAAAACGAACGAAATGTAAAGAAAAATGAGGGAAAATAAGAACGTTGGCTGTTGCTGTTCTTTAATTAAAATGCAAAAAGGCCAATTGCAAATGTGTTGCTGCTTGCTTGCTTATTGCTGCTCTTGTGCTGCCTTTTCTTCCCATGGTTGCGCAATTAAAAGGAAAAAAAAAATTAAGTAAGCAAGCTACAGTGAACTAGCAAAGTGCTGAAAAATTCCGATAACTATTGTAAAGGTTCTTATAGATACCAACATTTGGTAAATATTCATAAAAAACTTAACACTTGTTTCTAAAATGTGATCACATTTGGCTTATAAACATGGGTGTTATTAAAGTTAGTTTCCAGTTTCTATCTCTCTCGCACTTTTGGGTTTGAGTCCCAGCTTAGTCTGCAACATGCTGCTCAACATGTTCTTAGAAACATTTGTCTAGCAACTTTTCTATTTGTGACTTCGCCATGTTATAATAAAGTTTGAATATATCTATTTTTTTAGTTTAACTATAGATTCACTATCAAAAGATCGCTTTAGTTCACTCTACATAGTGCTCACTGTGAAATGAAAACAGAACGAGATAGCAGGAAGCAGCAGATGGAGAGGAAGATAGCGCCTAAGGAAGTTGGCGTTGCACACTTAGGCATGTTTAATACAGTTTAGCCACAAGCACTTAATTACAAATGCGAATGTAAAACTTCAGGAGGGGTCGCGGGCGATACCTAGCCACAAAAGATAGGGGGAAGAGAGCGGGGTTGCTGGTGAGGTCTGCAAAGTGTGGAACAGAAATTGCGGAAATAACTCGAAAGCCAAGTTAATGCATGTTTAGAGCGGGCGTTGCAAAGATGGGCATACCTGCCATGGGGCAGGAAAGAAGGCGGAAAATGCCGCGGGTGCACCTACCCCAGTTATTAGAGAAGCATTCAACAAAGTAAAATGGATTTCGAAAGATTCTCAAGCTCTCCGTTTTGGTCTCGACTGCACTGTCACATAACTTTGCCATTTGGGAGATTTTTAACATAAACAACTTGAAGAATTAAACAAAACAAGATATGCCAGAACTAGTTGGGAATTATAAGTACCTATGCCGGCGTCTGTCTCTCTCTTCTTCTCCCTCTTAATTTCTCTCTTTCCCTTTCACTGCACTTGCTCTCTCCCTGTCTCATTGCACTTTGCAGCCTATGCAAGTGATTGCCTTTAAAATTCCCAACTGATTCTAGCAGAAAACTAGTGATATTTACGCCAAGCTAAAGTCTTTCAGCTTCTCCACTCTGAAACATCTTCCTTGCCTTCCTTTCTAACCATTCTCTTGGATTCACATAAAAACCTGTCGTGTTGCTTAACAAAGAAGGAAAAGCTACATTAAATCGGAGTCGGTGACGGGAGACTTCACAGCAAATAACAGCTATTTATGCCCATCATTAAATTAGCCACGTTTTAAGGTCGATGCGCGACTATAAAGTTCTCTACTCTCGAACGATCTGCTCTCGGGTTCCTCTTCTCCACCTTCACCATCAGGCAAGCAAAGCCTTTAGCGCCAATCTTCACTGTGCTCTGTCCATCCATCAATGTAATGCTGATAATTGTTTGTTGCTGTTGTTGTTGTAATTTCTGCTCATAAACTGTTTAATTGCAAATTAGCAGAAAACATTTCGAAACGTCGGAGAAAAAGTAGCAAGAACAATGTTGCCCCATACACGGGATGGATAGTGGATAGTATTGTACACAAGTTGAGGCAGCAGTTGATCTTGTTGCATGTTGGCCGGTCATAAAAACGCCAAGAAAGCGCATAAATGTTGCAGAAAATTGCAAATATGAAAGATGTCTTCAAGGAGAGGAAAAAGGGGGTGAAAATTGCAACTCAAGGAAATGTACAAAGCTTAGGGGTGGGGGAGGGGAAAACTATTTAAACAAATACGTTTGCTATTTCCTTGTTCCCTCCCCCTGAAATTATTTGAAACATTTGTTAATTATGGTTTGTTTATTAAATTTATAAATAATTAGTTTACATTTATTGTTTTATTTGCAGGTGGCAAGGACGACGACGGCGAAGATAGCCTGAAGAATGGCAGTTCGGCCAATGGCGACTCCTCGTCGCACCTGAGCCTCAGCCTCAGCAAGAAGCAGCGAAAGGCACGTACCGCCTTCACGGATCACCAGCTGCAGACGCTGGAGAAGTCCTTCGAGCGGCAGAAGTACCTCAGTGTCCAGGATCGCATGGAGCTGGCCAATAAGCTGGAGCTGAGCGACTGCCAGGTGAAGACCTGGTACCAGAATCGCAGGTGAGTGACGGCGGCGGCACACTGCCTCTGATTAGTGGCAGAGCGGGGGAGTGGGGGAGAGGGAGGGTGCTCTAGAGTGGACCGCTAATCAGCGCCTTTAATGGGTTGCGCCCATTTCTTTGCGCACTTATCCAATAAAATTGTTTTTCATATGCTTTTTGCAATGCTTTCCTTCCTCACCTTATCGGCATTTTAGTTTTTATGCTGATTGCTTAATTTGCTGCATTTTGCGCGGCGCATCGTAAAATCTTTTGCCTTTTCACTGGGCGAGTGAGTGTCTGGAAGCGGCTTGCTTTATAGGCGACTTTTTTTTGTTCAGTGCAAGTTTGTTGCCTAAGTCTTTCGTTTGTGCTGCTGCTGCGGCTGCTGTTGCTGCTACTGCCTTATTACGATCGATCGCGTATTATTTTCGTTTTTAATTATTGCTCAATGACTTGCCACTATTTCGATGAGAATGCTGACCACAACAATTGGCCGCCGAGAGGCTTATACCTAGGAAGAAGCGGACGTACGAGGAGCAGCCTCGTCGCCTCACACCATATTGCGTAGCTCGGAGAGCACCAAGCACAACCGGATATGAGTGTCGAGAGGCAGTGTGTGTGTGTGTGCCGGGCGGTGGGAATTCTCATTAGGTAGGGGGTCAATCAAACAGGGGTTTTTCTTTATTTCCAATATGCATTACTTTTTGATATATATATATATATATTTTTTTTATAAAATATATAAATATAATATATAAACATATTTTTCGATCAGTCTTTACTTTAACACACATAAATCTCTACATTTTCGTGGTTATATGATTCTACTGAATTTGTACTTGGGAATTTTAAGGTGCACACTTTGGAAAAACTTGTATTAAACATAATAAAAGTTATAAATAGATTTTTAATACAATTTTTGCTTAATTTTTTCAACGTTTTTGGGATTTCTGAATTCATATTTATAAATTGAAAAAAGCTTACACCTAGCAACCAATTTTTTTCAAACTAAAAAGGGTAATACAATTTTTTAATGGTCTTTTCTTAGCATTTCAATTTGACTTGAATATTTTGAAACAATTTCTAGCTTCAATTTGTAACCATCAAACCCGAAAATCTAAAATTAAATATTACATCTTTAGGCATAACTTAACCTCTAGTGAAGAGTGTAAAAAAGAAAACAAAAGATAAACCCTAGGCTGTCATAATCTTGCCCTAAAGTCAATTCATGATACCTTCACATTAAGCCAAAATATTTCACAGCTGCTGCTTTTCAATGAATGGGCAAAAAATTGTAAAAACAAACCCCGACCTGGCTCTAGTTCTAGTTTCAGTCCTGGCGCCTCGAACAATTACAGGATTTGGCAATAAAAAAAAAAGGAAGGCTCATGGCGGCAAGAGGCGGGTCGCTGCCAATTAGGCTGCAGTTTTCGGTTAAGAGCTATGGTTTTTTTCCTACTCTGTTTTGGCGGGCAGGCACAAGATTAATGACAAAACAATTAAGTGCGAAATATAAACACTCGGGGCGGAACCCTCAAGAGCCGCACGGCGGGATATGGGATGCAGGAGATGCCTTTTGGGTGACTCGGCACTATTCTGGCCATGATTAATAGAGAGGACACTCGATGGCGTTCACATTTAGGACTCTCTCTCTCTATTTTTTAAATGCCCTGAGAATATAGATTAAGCATTGACAAAGAAGGATTGAGTACTCCATCATGGAATAGCCGGGCCTAGGCTCAAAAAGTAGGGCCAAAAATAGGATAACAATTTTAAAAATATTATAAATAATTAAATAAATATTTTTTTAATCCAGAATACAGATTTAACTTTAACTTTTTTGTTTGTTTGCTTGTTTTCCTTGTTCACAGGACCAAATGGAAGCGCCAGACAGCCGTGGGCTTGGAGCTCCTGGCCGAGGCTGGCAACTATGCCGCCTTTCAGCGTCTTTATGGCGGTGCCACGCCCTATTTAAGCGCCTGGCCCTACGCAGCCGCCGCTGCAGCCCAATCGCCACACGGCACACCGCCCTCGGCAATTGATATTTACTACCGGCAGGCTGCCGCTGCCGCCGCCCTGCAGAAGCCCGCGCTGCCCGCCTCCTACCGCATGTATCCCACAAGCATGCCTGGGGGCATGGCCCTGCCTGGAATGCCCGCTCCACCGCCTCCAGGAGCAGCGCCCATGTTGAGTGGTTATTATGCCGCTGCTGCCGCCGCCGCTGCATCCGCCCAGCCTCCAACGGCGTCTCTGCTGCCACCCAGGGACCGTTCGCCCGCCACCAGCCAGAGTGCCACCAGTGAGGCGGACTGCGAGCGAGGCAGTAGCAGCAGTCGTCAGCGATTGATCACGCCAAGTCCGCCACTCAATCCGGGCAGTCCGCCGCCACGGCGGGGCGAGGAGGAGCTGCCGCTGGCGGATCCAGAGATGGAGCAGCGTGGCGAGGAGGAGCGAGATGACGAGGATGAGGAGCTGGCCCTGGAGGTCTGAAGAGGAGGAGGAGTAGCTGCCAGCAAGTAACACTAGCCAACAGGGTTTTCGGTTTTTCCTTGCTAGCTCAAATACCAAATAATGCTTATTTATTCAAAAACCAGAAAAGTTTCCATTAAAAATTTAATTTGTATATACGTATTTTTTTTTTTTTTTTTATTTTTTAATATTTTTAACATACTTCTATCCCAGTGTTTTTCCAAAGGTTAAGCCTTTGTTGGCTAGTATTTGTCAGTCCTTGGAGCTGGATCTCACAAAGAATGTCCCTAAACCTAAATTAAGGGGTGATATACGCAAGAAGAACTAGAAAGTGGCAAGGATTTTGTGGGAATTGTTGTAAAAAATTAATTTAAAAATACAACAGAAATAGCTAAATATATAAATGAACTCATCTTCAAGGTCATATATCATTTTCTACATAGTAAAAGATATATGGTGTAAAGCAAACCCTGAAGTTAACCCTTTATATTTAAAATAGAAAAATTCAATTTGATTTTAATTTATATTATTTTTTATAAATAAAGGCTTGAAAATCAAATTTAAATTTACATTTTTTCTAAAAGTTAGCTTATGTTTTGTTTGATTTTTATTAAACATTTGCCACATTTTTAATATAAAGTGTTAAGTTTTGAGGAAAATAAACTCAAAGAACATCTCTGGCCTGCCCCAAAATATTCTTGAAAAAAATAACCATGTAAAAAATGTGTATATCTGCCAACTTAATTATATATTGTATGTATGTATGTCTCAAAAACATTCTCACAGGATATATGGCTTGAAGCGTTCTCAGTATTAGACACTCTCCATGTTCATCTGTCTCTAAGAATAATCTCCAGTAATTGTGAACCAGAATAAGCAAACTCTTTTTTTTTTGTCTATATATAATAAATAAAATAAATATTTTAAATTAAATCTAGCATAGAGAAATTTTTGTAAATTTTTGTAAATGATTTTTGTACATACGCAACAGACCAACCAACAACAACAACAACAACAAAACATACCTTTTTTTTGCAAACAAAATTTTTTTTTTTTTACTTTTTTTGTGCCTAGTCTTAAGACGTCTATTGTGTGTAGTAATAATAAAGCGAAAAAAAAGAAGAAAAAGAGAGCAATCGGGAAACGAACTGGCCTTTATTTTGCAACTTAAGGACTCAAGGGCTGAAGGACCTGGGCCGATCCTGAGCCTAATGCAAGCTGACACACGAGCAAGTCGTCAACAATGCTGCCCGAGTTGAGATCTCAAGGGGAACAGGACGAGGACGAGGACGAGGACGAGAGGCCAAGGAGCCACTCAAAAAACTGTTGCATTTTTTGGCCTGGGAAGCAGCCACTAAACTGCTCACTTAGAAATTGTTAACATTTGCCAAGGACCCTGGCAAGAAGTGAGCCTGCACTCCCTCTGAATGTATATATATATATATTACAGTGCCAGTTCCGAATCGATTTCAATTCCGCCAAGACGCCGTTCGAGTATGGAAACGTTTCTAATTGACTTGCCGCGAACGGAACTACCCTGAATCGCAGTTGAAACGCCTTAAGGATGACATCGTGAGGCAGTCAGGGGTTGGTCACGAGATTTTACAAACAAATAGTGATGAGTTTTTAAATATAAATAATATTTTGGGGTTGCTTAAAAATATATATAATAATTCGGAAAGTCGTTAACTTATCAGCAATATAATAATATAATTCTTAAAAAATAAAAATTGGAGAAATAAGGCTTTCAAATGCTTCAAAACTATTTTGAAAAATAATTTAGGCTCTGAAAAATCAAGATTAAATATATACATTTTTCTTAAGTTTTCCAACTTTTCTAATATAATATTATAGGTCCTCAAAAATCCAGATATACAAATATTCCATTAGTAAAATCCCATCTCTAACTAGTGGCACAGGACCTTACACGGTGGTTATTTGTTTTGCCTGTTTACATGTCGCTTGCCATTTTTTTTCTCTACATTTATGACAATTTCAATTTCTGCACGCCGCCGCCTTGGTTAATGTTTTAATTTATGGGGTTGCGGCTAAGCGAATTCAATTTGCGCTGCCTTTGAGTGGCACACACACACAACCCTTGCAAGGTCCTTGGTTCGATTCTCATTCTGAGAATCCAATCCGGATGCTGACTCTCATCCAAAATCGCATCAATGTCGACTTTGGGACTCTGCGCCTGAAGTGGCTGCGTCGTCGTCGTCGTCGATCCAAGTCAAGTGTCGAGGGGTTTGCTTGGAATTTATTTTATTTTATTTTATTTTGTATTTTTTTTTGGGGTTGTGCGTAGAGAGTTTTGAACGTCTGCATAACGCCTCTGTAACAAATTGATTATTTGCTGCGGTTTTCCTCGCTGAGAACACAATTCTCTCTGTTCTGTGCTTTTTTTCGCATCGATTTCAAATTTATATTTTATGAGTGCCCGCCGAGAGGAGAGTACTTATAAATTTATGAGTAGCCCGTTAAATCGTCAGACCGTGCGAAACTTTTCACTGAGAGCTTTTTGTTTGTGTGTTTTTGGTTGTTTGGCTTTGGCTTTTGCCTTTGGAGTGGGAGTGGATTTGGAGTTGGGGATATTTTCATTTTTTAGGTGGTGACTAGCCTGGAAAGTTGTGTATTTAAGTTGTCATCTCTCAGTTGATTGGGCAAGCGGGCAAAGTGACTTTTCCAAGCAAAACCCACACTTTAATGGCGCCCGAGGGGGGACTCTGTGTAGGAAGGCCTGACAAATTGCGGTTAAAATAATATGCAAAAGATAAGTCAATTGAATTGTTTGACATACGATTTTTTGTTGGATATCCGGTACTGGTATCCCGGTATCAATGGGTTCAAAGGTTTTTAGAACTTTGTGTCAATCGAAAATCGGTAGCAGTCAGAAAGAGAGGCATTTTTGACCCCATATATAGGGTGTGTATTCTTGATAATCGTGATGAGGGGAGTCAATCTTGCCCATGTCCGTCTCTCAGGTTATCGTCCGTTTGTTAGACAGTCTGTCCATTAGACAGTCTTTCCGTTAGACAGTTTTTCCGTTAGACAGTCTGTCCGTAAGACCTGTCTCTGCCTTTTTGTAAAACCGCCTGACTGTCTTAAATATATATTGGCACAAATCTCCAAAACCTCTTCCTTTTATTCCACAAAGTATATAAGTCAATACGGTTCAACCTTAGTTTGCTGACGTAATGTTCCTTGCTTTTTAAGTTAACACTTACTTCCAAGATCTCTTCAAAGGGTTTGAAAAAAGAGGGTTGGATTTTCCCCTAGACTAGTCTTCCCTTTTCGATTCTTTATCTGATTTCCTTGCGATTGCCCTCATTGTGCAATAACAACTCCCATTCCCATTCCGGCCAGTTTCGGGCGACTTTGAGCCTTTTGTGCATCCGATCTGACAAAGTGCTTTCACACCGGAAGCAATTGCAATGCGTTTGCCGTCAACCACCGACTTTTTCCGCCTAAAGATCCCACGCATCCCATAGTCCAGCTTCTATATAATTGGCAACTTACTGGGGGCGCGCCTTGAGCTGGCTCGTTTTTTAGCTCTGTCCCCCCTCGTTCCAAAAGCGACTTCTTTGTGACGCTAATTTGTCACAGGATGTCGGGATGTCAGGATGTGCATGGATGCTGGGATCCAGGAAGGAGCAGGCTGCTTCATTACACAGGCAATTTGTTGCGCATAAAGCGAAAGCAACTCGCAACGGAATCGAGATGAATCGAAATGGGATATGTATATGCCAGAGACACTACAACAAATTATTGATTATAGCTTATAAATTATATTTAAAATACAATTTACAAGAAGTCTTATGAGCTAATGATTTAAAGTTATATTTTATCTGTAATTTACAAGAAGTTCACAGCGAAATATGTAAATAATTTATCTAACTTTTTGATACTATTTCTTTTTATTATTTTCTATACTGCTAAAATTTCTCCCTGTGTACCCAGCATACATAGATTTTTCGGAAACTTCCGTTATCAATAAATTTGTGCGCTTAAAAGCGTGTGTTTATCGAATTAGATGCCGGAATTGGGAATGGTGCCGAGGTCAGGAAGTCGATGGAGATTTATGGGCAAGGCGAGGGGGGATGATGATGCTCCCAACTGGACGTGAGGTTATGTCAATAGCAAATAATATATATATAGAGAGAGAGAGAGAGAGAGAGAAAAAAAGAGGGAACTACTATTTCTTGTGCTGGCGATGGTGCCTTTAAATTACCGTAAATGGGCTCTGTGGCGCCAGGGATCAGAAAAATCGATTTGTCGGTCGTCGCCGCCAGTTAAACGCTGCCAATTTGCCTTCCCTACCGGGTAACGAAGCTCCTCAGCTTCTACTGGTTGGTCGGCTACTGGTTTTTGAACCTGCCACTGGAATAGCCTAAAACCAAAACCGAAAACCGAAAACCAAAACCAAAGCAAAGCGAACCGAGTCGAGCCGGCGGCCCAATTTGCATGCGTTCGATTTGCAATTCGCTTTGCAATTGCATTTGCGGTTTTCGGTTTTTCAATCAATTCTAACTGTGCAAAAGGCAATCACAGTCTGGCCAGAAAAATTGACAGGGTCTGGGATTTATAAAGACAGAGGGATATCCTGTAATGGGGAAAATATATAAACTAACATGAGAAGAAGATGTGGTACTTTGCTCTCTCTTAGTGTAAAGTCTACATAGAAAATGGCCAAATCGACTCGTCTGTTGTTGCTCTACCAGAAAGTAATACAAAAATACCTATTAAATATATAAGATTTCCACTTTTTGGCTTAGTTTATGCTGAAATCATTTCTTGTTTCTGTCAATAAATCCCAATAACTTACTGATTTTACCTAGAAATAAATCCCCGTGTTATGATACTATATGTATATACCCCTTTACAGGGTATGCACAACTTTATCCAGCCGCCTTCTCGTGGAGCACACGCCAATGTCAAAAGGTTCTCACAGACTGATGCCGATGCGTGTAATAGCGATCCCACAGGCGAGGCAAGGCTATGTGATATAGCCAGTAAGCCGATACTTCTTCCAGCTAGTCGGTGTTATTTTTACCATATTTTTTTTTTTTTAATTTTCTTTATTTTTTGTTCCCCCCAAAAGCCGTTAGCCGAACGTGTGTGTGGTCCCCAACAGGATCCAGGGAGTCCTGAGGTGCCAAAAGTCAAGCTTTTTGTTTGGCCAGGTCGAAAGAGTCGCCACGTGGCCAAAAAAAAGAAAAAAAAGGAGCAGAGCCATAGCATTCGTGTTTTATTTTGTATTTATAGAAGCGCTTTCATATTTATTTACCGCTGAAGTGTGACTAAACTGTGCCGGCGGCTATGTAAATTGTAAACGCTGCACAAATATATTAACAGTAGTAATTCCTGCCGCATGTCAGTCACTCGCCAGAGGTCCTCTGAATGGACCTCAAGCTGTGCGCCCGAAAATGCATTTAAAGGCCGCGCAAGGCAAACACACAGTTGCCACATCGGTATCCAATTACGAGGCGACTTCGACTTTGGCCGGAGTTCAGCCAATTTACGAGCACAATTGTGCCAAGTCAAGGCCCAGAAACGAGCAACAACAAAAAAAGGAAAACAGGAAAAAAAAAAAATAATAAATGAAATGAAAATGAAAATAAAAGGCAACAGCAGGCCAAATAAGTAGGCACGCAAAAGGGCCAAAGGCAAAAAGCCAGCCCAAGGGTTGATCCAAGAGAAGGGTGAGTCTTGAGCGTAATTCGGATTAATTCTAAATAAAAAAATATTTTTAATTTAAATAATTAATATATATATTTATATGATGTTGGAAAATGCCTTGAGAAAGTTGTATCAAAAATCTGTGGGTATAAATATATTTCGGTAATTAAAAAATTAATAAAAATAAAGTGTAATATGATAATTTTTGGTAATTATAAGATGAATAAATTTAGAAAATCATAAAATCAATAAATCTTGGTCTTGTTTAAAAAAAATTTCAAGCGAGCGTTATGCATCTTATTAATGTATTATCTTTAGTATG